ATCATTTAAAAAAAAAAATCTAAAAACTAAGAACAAATGTAAATGAATTCTACCATTCCCGAGTTTTTAGTAAAGTGGTCATTCTAGAGTGTTACGAATCAGAAGCTTAGTATCATAATCAATCAAATAAAACTAATCATCTTTGGATTTACCTTTTCGAAAACGTAAGAAGGTGGATTCGTTGTGTCAGGCATGAAAGATGTTACAAAGACAGCAACAGAGATCTTACTAGGAAACATTTCGGCTGCAAGAGCAACCGATAGCCCTCCAAGGCTATGCGCGACGAGGATCGCCTTATCCTCCGAGCCAAACGCCTCAAGAACCTCAAGCAATGGCTTGCAGTAATCCTCAAGCGACTGAATCTCTTCCACTCTACTCATATTCACACCAGAAGCCGTGAGTTCAACAACGGTCACACGATGTCCTGAAGCTTCCAGTACCGGTTTGACCTTGTACCAACACCACGCGCCGTGACAACCGCCGTGAACAAGCACAAATTGCTTCATTTTCTTTGTCTCAATTGATAGATTTTTTGTTGTTGTTCCTTTCTTCCTATAGTTGTGGCTGTATTGTGGTTCTTCATTTATTGTTGGAGACAGTTTTCTCATTGAATTGTCACTTTCGAAAGTCTAATGATTAACTTGGTATCACAAGAGATAAGGAATTACTACCTCGTGCCTCGATTCTAAGATTTTTACCAAGGGGAAAAAGAATTTATCGAGGATTCGCCCTATTGGTCCATTTCATAGAACAAATATGGAAACTATCTTACCACTTTGCTTGATCACACCTATAGACGCTTTAAGTGGTGGTCAAAGTAGCCGGATTTTTTGTTACGTTGTCTTTTTATTTTGACAAAATTTGTGATATATAATAGTGGTTGATGATATACACATATCCGAATTCAAAACTATGTTAGTCACAACAGTTTACATAGTGGAACTCACATTTTAACAAAATTAAAAGTCTATTGGATTGGAATTTTTGGTTATCTTTTTTTTTTGGGAAATGTAAATGAGCGAATTGATAAAGACTACGATAAATGTGATTTCGTAATATGAACGTATGTGGACATTATCGTGTGTATGTTCATTGTGAGCTGGTAAACTATAAACTAGCATAGAGTTAACAAAATTTGGTTTAAGCCTTCTTTGGCCATTGATTATTTAATAAGACGAGATTTCTTACTTTTGTTCTTTCTCTCTTGTTAGTATTTACGTGTACGTGAGGACTTAAAAATTCAACCAAAGCAAGCAAGAAACTCAAATCCATTTTAGAATTCTTTTGTTATGATTTTTCAACAAAGAAACAAAAAACTTTTGTTTTCATTGATATTGAATGAAGGAATGTGATAGAAATATACAATGAGATAGTATTAGTATCGTACTAAAATTGTGTTATTTGCCAATTGTACGTTTAAAAGTCTCTATTTTTTGCGTTTGTGTATGTGGATATTAATAGTTATAAAAAAAAATTTTTAAATCAATTTAAGTATTTAACTAATGTATTTGCTACTCGCTAGCAGAAAATATATATCCTATTTATAATTCGCATTTTTACATATAATATAATAATTATCATATGATCGCGATAATTTGTAGCATGACCTTTCTCCTATACAGTTTGGACCTCGCTCTTGACACCTATCGTGGGTTCAAGACTTAGTCCGGACTATTACAGTAAATCGCCTACAATTCTACAAAGGAACAGGCTCTCCAAGATTGATTCTCAGTTGACTCGAATGGTATTTCACACAACAATTTACTAGCAATGGAAAGAGAGGAACGGTCGTTGTCACCAGCAACCTCTTTCCACCCCTCTATCTCTTGCTAGAACTATTCACATAGAGATCCTCAACAGGCTGCTCTCGCTACGTCGAAATTTGGCTGTAGGAGAAGAAGACGAAGCTGTCACAAAATGGCTTCAATCATCACCTTAATGAAGTAGATCGATAATCGTTCTTTTTCTAAATTATTTGCTCTGTTTTTTATTAAAAGTTCTTGCTTCTTCTAGATTATTTGGGATCCAAAAAATTGTAAACACTTTTTTTGTTGATAAATAAATTTAACATTTCAACAAAAAAAAAAAAAAGGAAGTCGCCATCTAACAGTTACTAACGACTTCTAAATTTTTGGTTGATACATGTTTCTTGTGAGGTTGTGTCAAGAAAGTCTTGCATCCAAAAACCAAAACAAACCTGAAATTCGTCTGCATGTAATAAACACATGAGTACATGTAATAAGTACTCGTCGAGATTCTTCAGTTGCTTGTTGGATTGGTTTGAGTAAAACCGAAAATCGGTTTTGTAGCTTCAGTTTAACACAAGTATACAAACCAAATAAATGTTCAATTGAATCCTTCTCAATCCCTTTTGACTTGGATACTTCATTGTATTGTTCACTGAAATGTCCTTAAAAACACAATCTCATATTGAGTTTTCTTATCCCTACCCCATGATAAAATATTCATATAGATATACATATTCTTGTTTAGGCATATTTATCAGCAATCTTCAGGAGACGATCACATAGTTCAAGTGGCTTGGAAAACATTGGCATATGATCTGCATCTTCAATCTCCATCACTTCTTTAACCGGAAAATTATCGATAATCCATCGCTGAAAATCTTCAGTTAAACCCTTGTCCTCGCGGCATACGATATACACACGAGTAACCGATCCATATCCTTCTTCGGTTAAGCTTTTTGTCCCCGTCAAATTACTGGTAACCGCGGGTCCAACTCTCACCAACATTTTGGCTAATTCAAAATCCTAACAATCAACAAAAATATTCATTAATAACAAGAAAAGTTCCTAATTGGGTTTTGTAGAAAACATAGCATTTCTTGAGTCTTACTTCGATAGGAGAGAGATGATACATATTTTTAAAGTACTTAGGTCCGAAAGTAATAGTCATTAGAGGATGATCATTAGTCCCATAAGTCCCAATCTCCAGATCCATTCGTTCTTCTTCTGAAAGGCTTCCTATAAACTGCAATTCCAATCACATATCAAAATCTCTTATAGATGATCAAAATGAATTTTGAATTAAAAAAAAAAGCTAAAAATTTGTTAATTCTCTACGAATATTGTACCAAAGTAAGGGACAAAAAAAAAACATAAAAGTCTCTCAAAATTCTTTAATGGAAACAATTTCGAATAGAATCCAAAACATAGTAAGACAAAATTAGAGAATACTAATCCTAATTATTACTCCCTCTGTTTTTAATTGTTAGATGTTTTAGAGTTTTTACACATATTATCATGCAAAGTTGCATAATAAACTTCAAGTAGGAATAATATAGTTTGATGTATACCTTTTCGAAAACGTACGAAGGTGGATTCGTCGTGTCGGGCATAAAAGAGGTTACGAAGACAGCAACAGAGATTTTACTAGGAAACATATCGGCCGCAAGAGCAACCGATGCTCCTCCTAGGCTATGCCCTACGAGGATTACTTTATTGTCCGAGCCACACGACTCAAGAAGATCAAGCAATGGCTTAGCATAATCCTCCAAAGTCTTAATCTCTTCTACTTTGCTCATGTTCACACCAGAAGCCGTTAGATCAACGACCGTGACACGGTGGCCGGAAAGTTCTAGCACCGGTTTCACCTTGTACCAGCACCATGCACCGTGACAACCACCGTGAACAAGAACATAGTGTTTCATCCTC